ATGACATCATTTACGCCCTAAAAAAATACTTTTTTTCTTTTTTGTTTTATTAGGTAAAGATTTGGTTTCAAAATAAGAGGTCCAAGTTAAAAAAAATCTTGCGACAGGGCCAAGATCCTTCAACATTTCTTAGCGGAATGGTGAACGGGGACGGAGGAGTAAGTGGCTTTGAATATTTCATTTTATAATAGTTTTAATAAAGAATTTTTATTTTCCCAAAACTACTTTGTCCATAAGAGTTCTACAATTCCTCTCTCTTGATTGTTAATTCAGGCATTAAACATTCATAAATGTCTGCATATCAGGCAAAATTCTTCATTTAGTGTTATAAAAGTGAATCCTAAATGAGCAATGCTTTCTTTTTTGGCGTCTCACTTGTCACTAGGGTGAATAGATTCATACTGCAAGCAAATGTGAAAGTTCCTTATAGACATAGATATTTCCCGCCTCAGATATTCAGAGTTTATGATGGATGTTGTTACAGTTTTTAGAACGTTAATCAAATTTGGCTAATGGACAAAACGACTTAGTTTACATATCCTACTTTAGGATCATAGCTAATCGTGTTTTTTCGTACCAAATCTATTGTTCATCATGCTTCATTAAACTAGGCCACTTATCGAAGGGATGAAGACTAAGATGTTGTGGCCTTTAGAATAATCGCGATCTCCCTCCGTTGTTTAGAAGCTATATTCAAACTAAATGAAAGATACTCTTGATTTGACTTCGTTTTCGCAACTTGGTCGTAGCAAAAGTAAGACCTTGTGGAACGTACCTAGTCGTGCATCCTCTGCCATAATGTTCGTGATTTCCGGTATTAAACCATTAAACTAAATGATACCTTAACATCAAGCTATTGAGGAATTCTTCGGAAACCAGATTTTTAGATATTGTTTGACCTTGTTTACTCAACTTTGTCGTATTATCAAGGCTCCCTTAGAAGAACGCATCTTGCCCAGGGTCCATGGTATCCATAGTAATTTCCAGTGTCTGACCGTGGACTCGGCACATCTTCAGACGTTACGTCGGCATCGTCAGTGAGTCTTAAATAAAATAATAAGCAAGTTTGAAATTGTGATACAGAGGGGGATGATACGAAGATATGGGATGGGTGAACGTATCAGGACAGAACGAGAGATACCACAACTTGTATCTTTGACGAGTTGTAGTGTGGTGCCAAGAATGGCAAGACTCACTGACGATGCCGGCGAAACGTCTGGGAATGTACCACGTCCACGGACCTACTCTGCAAATGATGATGCATGCAAAGGACTCCGGACAAAGTGCGTTCCTCTAAGTCTTTTTCTACCAATGTGACCAAGTTGCGAAAACAAGGTCAAATAACTTCTATTTTATTTGGCTTCAAGTGGCCACAAGGGCATGCATCTCCAAAATATTATGTATCATTGGGTTGCCAACGCAATGAACTAACCACAGGAAAATTACAGCTAGTAATAGTGTCAAGCGGGTTTGCTTGCCAGCTTTTCGTATAAAAATATTTCTCTGCGAATCGAGTAAGGCTAAATCAAGAATGTCATCATTCATTCTGACGTGACACATCTCTGCCTCAATCTAGCCTTGCAAGTAATTTCCCGTTTTTACAAGCCTATTTCTATCAATTCAATCAAATGATTGCAATCATATCCATTACTCATGGAATGGAATTCTTTATTTTTAGGATAGTGATGATCAAAGCTTTGGCTCAGGAGATGAGCCTCCAGTCATTGGAGGTGCTTCGGTGGAGGAGAACGAGAGGGTACTTGAAGTCTCGCAACAAGAAGCTCTCGATACGGTTCCTCACAAGCCGTTCGGTTGTACCACTCTCCATGCCTCCATATCACAAGGTCTGCCTCCTACCTCTTCTCTTTCACTACTTTCCGAAGGTTTTGAAAGCGATTCTCAATTGTTCAAGACCAAGCCAGAGTCCAGCCATCTGAATATACTGTCTGCAGCTACCGCTGCTTCCAACGAGTGTGAAGGCAGTGTATTGCCGGAAGTCAGATCTGGAAACTCTTGTAAAGACGCCTCAGATATGATGGTCCTATACAACATACCCATGGCAGCACATTTTACCTCTACCCCCCTTTCATCTGTTGCCAGCCCAGGCATACAGAGCTTATCCTGTTGCCCTTCATTGTCATCGAATCTTGCGAGGACTTCAGATCGCTTGGATGCCAGAACTGTGAGCAAACGGATCGAGAGAACCGGTTGCAGCTCTATTTCTGTGCCTGGCATTAGTGAAGGGCAGGGTTTTAGGCGGATGGAGATCTTGAGTGGTAGAGAAATGGACGACGACGAAGATAGAGTGGAAGATTATAGAAATGGAGAAGGGGAAGAGACGGAAGATGAGGAGGATGAGGAGGAGGATGAAGAGGAGGAAGAACTTGGAGACGAAGAAATAACGAACGTCGAGGGGGAGGAGGCAGATGATATCGTGAATGATGACTACGACGAAGATGGTGGCATAAACCGTTACAAATCGGGAGATCATTCGTCACCAGGCTTGCTTCAAACCTCTAAGCGACGCGTTACGAATACAAATTTGTCAAATTCTCATACTCAAGTAATGAGCATCCAGGGCGCAAAACAGGTCGACAGAAGGCCGTCGAGTGTGGATAGTGCTTCGCATTCTCCTCATCCTGTCAATAACATCCTATGCAACAAGCCGCATCCTTCTCCTCTACGGTCGCAGACATTGTCGCAAATCTGGCAACCACCGAGCAGCCTAAACGACTTCAGGAACTCGGCATTTTGCCCACCTCCCATGCTGGAACGTGAGCGCTGTCCGTCTACCGGCCAACCCAGCCAGTCTTCTGCAATGGTGTTTGCTGGTCAGAAAGCATTCTCTACTTCCTCGCCTCTGCTTGAAGAAATTTGCCGGCCGTCGCCTCCTCAATGCGAAACGATAGCCAAATCGGCAGCCTACTCTGGTCTGGCACAGGCCATCTGTACGCAACAGGTCCACGCCAACTCAGACTATTCCGACCTTACAGGAGCCCTTGATATACCCTTTAGTCAAAATCAGTCTATACTGATTCAGGGAAATCAGCAATATGCCTATAAAAACCATATGTATGGCGCTCAACTATTTCTCACTTGTCCGCACAATATGGTCGCGAACTCGGTTGACCTACCAAACGAGCTTGTGTTAGCTGCTCAACCGACCCCACAAGACTCGCTATCGGCCACTCCACTCATTCATCATTTGACAGACGTGCAACTGTTGGACATATCCAATCAAGAATTGAAGGCAGGAGAAAATGGGCTGGGAGCATTTCAAGCAAATCCACACTCAGAGAGGTTACCACCCGAGGAGCCTTTGGGCCATGGGCTTCAACCAAACTGCACCTCTTCCGATGAGTCTTCATCAGTCTCACCACCCGTGCTCTTGGGCTGTGGAAGCAGTGCTGGTTGCCCTGATAATGCCAGTTGTCACGGCAACAGTTTGGCTGGAGGCAGTATTTGCACGGGGGTCGGCGGTAGTGTTGATGAATTTGAAGTTGAGGCTGGATCTGCTCGGTTCAATGGTCCCTATTGCAAACGAGGCAATTTGATCTCTGCCCCACCCCATTCGGAAAGGCCGAATAGCTCTCCTCCTGCCCATAGTCCTGTTGAGCATCCCAGACGTGGCGGAAGCAATAGTGAGCAGAATCAAAACAACATCGGTAGACTCATTGTGACTCAAGGCTGGATCACAGGGCCTTCTTCTCCGCATTTCGCCGTCGCGAACCTCGAGGACTCTCCATCCGAAGGCTTGAATGCGACGAGAAATAAACCAGTGCTCAAGAAAGATGATGCAGTACAAGAATTTTCATTCGATTTACATGCTCATGTGGGAGGCAATACAACCAAAAAGAGCATCGACAATGGCACACTCTTGCCGACCATCTGCTCGCCAACTGCACCTCATTCATCATCTTCCTCTTCCTCTATTTCCTCACCTTCCTCATCATCCTCGACAATGCCGTCGGTGATCGCAAACCAGCTCTTCAATCATAGCCCTCAGTCGACCCGAGAGTCTTGTGCAATCACATCCGTCCTGACGCATAATATGCATCGCCAACAGCAAATAAGCCAACAATATCATTATGCAACCAACCACTTGACAAGAGGTGAACCAGCAAACCGAGTTGACGACTATTACCTTTATGCAGTTTCACCAGGTTGGGGACAAGCACAGCAGTATGGGGTAGAATCGGCCTCTATCGATTGGCTCGAGTCTCGTGGCAACGTCCATGTGGACCATGCTGGTTATGGAACTGGGCCGCAAGAATGTCGTTTACTCCGGGAGGAAAATGTCGATAGAAGTTCTCTAGCTCAACGGAGGGACGAAATGACCTGTACATATTCCGATATCGGAAGCACTAGTATCTCAAGTTCAAGGATGACAACGCGAAATATGATTCCAGGTTCGTACTCAAGCGAACCAGAGGGAAACACTGCTGTTGTAGCCTGCATCGAGTTGCCATGGCAACCTGGAAAGAGTTTATATAAACCAGTCCTGGGAAGTGACAACGATATGACAGCAGCATGCGGAATGTATACTCCAAGTGAAGCCGACACCTTGGAACAGCCCTTGGTTCCAGCATCACCAGCTCAATTTCCGCTTGACTCTTGGGTGCTGCAAAGTTCCTCGTGAATAGAAACATTGTCCAATTTCAGTTTAGCTTAGAAAGCATAATCATTGGGTTCATCATATGGTTCATCACCTCATGCTTGTCCATTCCAATCGCCATATGTATGAAATGTTCATCGAGAGGATGGGCAAACTTTAGCAAGGCCCAGCTAAAAAGCGATATAATATGGCATATAAATTCACGTAAACGATATATTTTCGTCTATCATTCCATGCTATAGATACAGCACCTTTGCTTTTTATTATGTAACCCGCACTCATAGTGCGTGCACCAAAAATTCGCCATCTACTTTCTTGGAAAATCCCCATTTTTTCTTGATGGACATCCTCTACGCATATCTCTTAGTATACTTGCATGTTATCTGCAATCTCTATGACGAAAGCAGTGGAAAATTTCATTTTATTGGATTCACATAGAAAGATAAAATATCATTCAAACATCAGATAATAATGGAGACTTTTACATGTAGTTTAAAACTAAGAATTGATAGCTAATAAAAAATTGAAGAGAAAAATGCCATCAATGATTTTGTGTCATAGTCCTATGAAGCCAGCTTGTCCACGTTTAATTATGGGGAAACAGTCATCTGAGTCCTGTGCATGCACAAAATCACTTGATATGTTAAAGAGAGGCGAATTTTGTAGGCCATTTTTTACCCAAACAGTCAAATAACCACGTGATCTTTCAATATATTTCATT